GAAGCTGATAAAATTTCATATGTCATGATGGGATATGCAAGGGCTCTTATTGTTGATCATTCAGCCGAAACTCTGGCTAGAGCTATTACCATAGCAATAAGATACAGTGTTGTTAGGAGACAAACACAAAATAGACCTGGGTAAGATCTTAATTTATTGTAACCTTAATAACTTAAAGGAAGGGCCTTATGTTTATCGTTTAAAGTGGGTTTCCAATATTATGCTAAGCTTAACATTACATTGACTTTGGAATTGAGTATAGTTTAACTCTAGTCTAAAGCATGTTGAATTTTGCCCATAATTTTGATTCAAATTGACAGTGTGCATGTGCTAGCCCAGCATCATAATTAAACCTGTCTTAACACTACAATTATAAGAGTTGAGCAATGCAATGTACATGTACCAGTATGATTATTATTTTTGAAGTATATCTATAATTTAGTGAACCCGAGACACAAGTATTGGATTATCAAACTCAACAGTTTAAGCTGTTTCCTTTATTGGCCTCTGCTTATGCGATGAAGTTTGCTGGTCATTACATGATGAAACTTTACACTGAAGTGACTAAAGAAATTTCTGAAGGGAACTTAAAATCTCTACCTGAGGTATGGTATTATTAATATATTTCAATATTTATTAATGCCCTCTCTTTCTAGCTTCATGCTACTAGTGCTGGTTTGAAAGCATTTTGCAGTGAACTGTGCTGCAATGGTATTGAGGTACTATAATTATTTATGGTTTCCCACAAGCATGCTAAATGAGCTAAATAGCCTGCTTCATGAGCTCACAAGCACTGTACATGATATGGCTTTAGAGCAACTTTGAAAATTCATAAAAATCCAATTTTGATGGGAATCAGCTCAAACTTGCCACTTAAGATACAAATATGTATACGTATCAGAAAAAGTTATTGAAATAAAAAATTTTCTTTTAGTCATTTTTGGTGAAATTTGCCCAAAGACCCTGTATACAGGTTACTATTTTGTACAGGAACTTTGACCCTATTTTAGTAACTTTAAAAATTTGTACAAAATCTGATTTTGATCAGACATGCTACACAACATAAGAACATGTATAATTGTGTATGTATCAGGAAAAATTATTATGGAGAAATCTCTTTTGCATTTTGGGTAAAATGTGGCCAAAGAACCTGTTAGTAACATACATGGTAGCATTACTAAGTAGGATTCACCCCACTGAGATTTTGGCTCGATTTTGGGTAACTTTTAAAATTTATAAAGAATCAAATTTTTATTGAAGCCAGCTTGAAATTTTCATACAGCACAAGAACATGTATGCATGTGAGAAAAATATATAAAATTGGTAAATTTTCTCCTATCACCCTGTATAGTGTATGGTATTTTGCCAATTTTTTGAGCAAATTATAACATCCACTGACAAGACACTATCCCAAAATTTTGTAGAAAATCCTGATTACATATATATTGTGTAATTCCATGTGCTTCATCACAATGAATTTTCCTATAGTTGTGCAGATTAAGTTGTGGTGGTCATGGCTACTCAGCTGCCAGTGGTCTACCTCAACTTTATGCTGATTATTCTCCTTCTCCAACATATGAAGGAGAGAATACAGTTATGCTACTGCAAACAGCAAGGTGATTATCATTAATATTTTTCAT